TTCATTTTTCTTCAGTCAACCTACTTTTATTGGCTTCTAGTTAATGTTTTGGGAAATAACACTTTTAATCATTCTGCATGGAAATTTTTCTAAAATTTATGACAACTTCCTGTGTGTATTTGATTTAACTCATTTTTTTCTGACTCCATCAACATTACGAACATCCTTTACACTATGGTGTCCTCAGGATTCTTTGCCCTACATGAAATGATTCTACCTACATAACTTTCTTAGTTTCAATGGACATTTCTTTTAAGAGAAAAAGTAAATAGAAGCTTCACATATGTGATAATTTGCTCAGACAATTTAGCATGAATCCTGCTTTCATGTCAGTTGTTATAATAGTCTCTGAAATTTTAAAAATTATTTCTAAGTGACTCGAGAAGTCTGAATTTGTTTAAAATGCCATCTTTGGCACAGCCCTTACCATATGCCATTTTAAAAACATGGTTTGACACAAATATCCTTTGTAACATTCAAAGAGGAACCCTAAGCCTTTTAAAAATAAAAACAAACTCTATCCTTTTCTTCGGCCTTAGTCCTCATTTTTCAAAACTTACTGCAGACTGCCCTGATATTTCTTACCCCGTTTATGTAGTAAATGGATTTATAAGAGTAAAGTGATTCATACATGCTTGTTTGCCAATTTCCTTTTGGGCAATGGTTATAATCATCATTTCATGGATCCATTCTATCCCCTCTCATCACTTATCCCTCCTGGTCCCACTTGGAACATTAAAATGACCTCTTTCTGGAAGGAGGTCTGTAATCACAGCCTGTTAATCACATGATTCTGCTGGAGAGGTGGGACTGCAAGTAAAACCACATTAAGGAAGTTCACTTCCACGGGCTCTATCTGTTAGAGCATTGCACAGTAATCAGAAATGCTATGCCCCAAAGCATCCATCCCACAATACTAATGTGTCAAAGCAGAGCATTGGTTTTGTCTGTTTGTAAATGGAGACATAAAACTTGTACTCCCAACTCAATGAAGATTCAATGAGAAAGGATAGATGAAAGCATGGTGGAAGCCATACAACACATAATAGCCACAAAGATAAGCATCTTCAAGGAACCAGGAATAATACTAGATGCTTTGTATCTGTGATGAGATCACTTTTAAAACTCAGAAAAACCTTGCTGGGTTGAAATTATTATGCCTGGTACCTTAATGAGGAAATCAAGGTGCAGGCAGTTACCATTAAAAAGTCCAGCAGCAGAATCAAGTCAGTTCAGGTTCAAAGCTCAGGCTCTTTTCACCAAAATCCTTCTCCAGATATAAGCTCTTATTTTCCTCTCTACCCAGAATGAAGACAAGAGGTGTGTTTAAAGTTCTTAACTAACAGTGGATGGGATGATGGTGACTAATCAGTCACTTCAGCACAGCTGGCTGAAAAGCACACCAACTCTCTAGGACTTGTGCGTGCATTTTAGAACAGGCCCCAGGATGTCTGGAAAACCCATGAGCTCTATGTATTCAGGGGAATTTTGCTGTATAATGTAACAGAAGAAAATTAGTGTTGAAGACAAGAGGGTTGTATGATCTTGCATTTCGGAGATAGCCAGAGATGACAGAATATTCTTTACTGCAAGTTCTATCTTCCTCATATTGTCAAGTAGATGCAAAAAAAAAAACAAATAATGTGGAAAAACATAAGGACTTGATGGCTTTTTGAAAACTGCTAAAGAACAACAACAAAACAACCAAAAAAATTTTTTTTAAGAAATGCAAAGAAGTCCATTTCCATAGGGGCTCAAATGTCTTAAGTTTTGAGAACCGTTTGATTTATAACCTGAATACAGCCATAGATTTTACTCTTTAGAAAAATACTGGAGCTCTTTCTTCCTGCTTCAAAATGGCCTGGCTGCTCTCTCAATTCCCACACAGCTGTCATCTCAGGTTCTCCCTTCAGCAGCACCCTGGGGAGCCTTTGTCCCACCCTAGTGTTGAATCTCCAGCTTCTGGATCCCATTTCTCTCTTGAGTACTCCTTTAGGTGAAGCATAACCTTCCATAAGCTTCCTGGGATAGAGTGCCTGTGGAGAAAATATTTCGAGAACTTGCATATCTGAAAATGTGTTTTTGCTCCCCTCATAACTCTTTTTTTAGTTTGGGTATAAAATTCTAGTTTGGAAATTATTTACCCTTGAAATTTTGTCTTTTAACTTCTGATGTCCTGTTAAGAAATCCAGGAGAATTCTGGGTTGTAGTCCTTTCTATGAGAAATCTTTTTTATTTCTGGAAATCTTTGGGTTCTAAAATTTCACATCGAGGAGTCAGTTTTGTTTAATTCATTTCCATTCGTTTTGCTGAGTATTCATTGGATTGCACACAGTGTTTTTTTATTTCCGAGACATTTCCTTAAAATTCTTTTGTTGGTAATTTCCCCTACTTCGTTTTCTCTGTTCTCTCTTTCCAAAATTCCTAAAATTCAGATGTGGAACCTCCTGGGTTGATTCTCCAGTTTCCATATGGCTTACACTCATGTTTTTAATCTTTTTTTCTTTTTGTTCTATTTGCTGGTATATTTCCTTAACCTTTTCTTCTACTGAATTTTTCATTTTTGTGCTAATATTTTCTATTTCCAAGATTTTTCTTTTGTTTTCTGAATGTTCCTTTTATAGAGCATCTTGCAATTCTCATATCTCTGAGGACATTAACAGTTTTTGTTAAATGTTTTCTTCTGCTCCCTACATTATCATGGCTTCCTGGTCTTTCTCTTGTTGTGGTCTGCTGTTATACAAATGGGCTAAAGATGGCCCCTGTTTTGTTTATTTCTTCACAGCAACCTCAAAGCCCACCAGTGGTAAACGCAAAAATTTACACATCCAATTGCTTTAAATGTAAAACAAAGAAACATATTTTTAGCCATTTAGAGCCACCTGCTTTGCAAAACTACACCTATCAGCTAGCCTTAGATAAGACAAACCCTGGGGCTATAAAAGACCCCCAAACTGCTGCTGTCCTTCAGGGTTCTCTGACCCAGAAACTCCCCAGTGTGCAGCTGAGCTAGGTCACTTAGACATGTAAGTTCCCTCTCAGATCCCCCTCTCTCCTGGGAGCTTTCTTGCCCTGTTACCTTTCTGGGTACTGTAGCTATCTCAGTAACGTTTCCTGCAGTCTTGCCCCAGCTCCACCCAGCGAAGCTTGTGCAACACTGCCACATTGTGGTCCTGTCTCTTCCTAGTTCAGTCCCCAAATCCTCCGCCTCACCACAGCTACCTATAAGATAGGGGCTTTCTTCAGCCCTCTTGGCTGTCCATTTACATGGCCAGAGTCCATGTGGGACTCACACAGGGTCAGCAGAGGACTCTGGGAAGCTCCCTGGAAGGCTCTGGTGTGGGCAGACCTTGTCCACTATGAGCTTCCCATAGATGATCTGGTGAGAACTGGACCCAACTGTGTCTAGATCTTATCTCTTGGTCAGTTTCTCCAGGGGAAAACCCTCCTGTGGAGCCCATGCCTGGCTGCCAGCCCTCTGGATGCCGGGGGAGGAAAGGACTTGGCCCTTGGAGGGTTTGGGGGTAAGGGCAGAGCCTCTCATGCACCGTGAGTCTGAGAGCCTACACCCTTGGGCTATCAACCAGACCCAACTGGATCTCTGACACCAGACATAGCTAAGGTGTGGCTGCTGTACAGAAAATGAGGGATTAAATAAATATCTACCTCCAGAATGGGGAGACCCTCCTCCAAGCCCTGTGTAGGCACATGCTTTTTCCCACAATAAGAGATGGCAAACTCTTCTTGTAAAGGGCCAAATGGTAAATAGCTGGGGCTTTGCTGGCCACATGGTCGATGTCGCAACTGCTCAGCTCTGCCATTGAAGCACAAAAGCAACCACGGACCATGTCAACGAAGGAGCATGGCTGCATTCCAAAATCATGTTATTTATGAATGCCGAGAATTGAATTTAACATAATTTTCATGTGTCATGAACAATTACTATTTTTAATTTTTCCAGCTATTTAGAAACATAAAACTCTTAGATCACTGGCTATACAAAACCAGTAGCAAGCTGCATTTGGCCCAGTAGTGGGAGTTTGCTGATCTGGGTCCTAGCATATCATTGTCGAGAGTTTATTATCAAAGGCCTCTGAACCTTTCTTACTCTTCCCTTTAGCAATGCCTCCCAGCATTAATTTTCATCTGTAGGTATAAGGGTTACTGGTTCTCTCTCACTCTCTCTCTCATGCAGCCTCCAGGACATGCCATGGAAATTCAGACATTTATGAGTTGCCTCGGAATGGAAAAGGTGGTTGGAAAAGGTGGTAACAGTGATTCCAAGAGCTCCTGCCAAGTTCTGCCCCAGGGTGGAACAAGTTGTTGATTGTTCCCTTTCCCTGGATTTTACCCAAGGTGATAAATGAGTGCTGTGGGAGGAGACCTCTGAGAAAGGTGGGAGCCCAGACTCCCAGGCCTTGAGCTTATCTGAGTCAGAACCTCTGTCTCCAGCAATAAAGACTATTTTAAGCAGGCCAGCAGCTGTCTAGTCTCAGCTTTCAAATCATCAAAGAAAGAAATCCCACCTTTTTTAGTTCCAACAGCAAAATGGGAGTTTGGCAGAAAAAAAAGAGCTGCTTCTGCCACTTGATAATGTAATTCTGGGGACAAGTCAGTTCTTACTGGGCCTTGATTTTTTAATCTCTAAAATGGGGATCCCTGCCTCACTGGATCATTGTGTGGATTAATAAAATAATAATCTAAAGTCCCTGTCACAGTAAGGGGGCTCAACAAATGGCAGATAGTGCAATTCTAATTTATCTAAACAAGGAAGCTCAGAGAGATTAAAACACCATCCCAAGAGCACACGGGTAATTAGGGGTGGAAGCAGGAATACCATTTGTTTTCTCAACTGTTTAGCTGATATTCCCTCTCCTACCCTGCACTACTTGAAGAGGAGGTCTTAGTTCTTTTTTTTCAACCACACCTGATATGCTGTGGTAGGAAAGATGTCGGAGCTACATGATATCAGGTTTGTACCCCTTTTTCTCACAGCCCCCTTGGTTTCTGCTGCAGGTGACAGACTCTCTCCTCTCATGGTCCGATATGGGGAAAAGCTGACCTCTACACATCCTATGGTACAGGGGGTCTTGGGGGCACTCCCCTCCCCCTTTGCCACCTCCCTTTGCCTCCCCCTGCTCCCCCATGTCCATCTTCATCCCCTTCCTGATGCAGGCTGCCATCGTCTGGGCTGAGCCGCTCCGCCTGGACGGTCACAAAGATTCTCTGTAATGTGTTTATAAGGAGAGGAGTCAGAGCAGGGGCCTGGCTGTGCTCAACCCACATGGGCCCCCAGCCCTGTTTACACAAAGCGAGAAGGAGCCAAGACAGATGACCTTGTTGCCTGGGGGCCCGGATTAGAAACATAACCCAAGTCCAGAGCCCATGGCTTGTTTCTAGGCTACACCATACAGAAGTAACACGGAGGCTCCTCTTTACCCAGGGAGGCCTGTTTGCTTGGCTGGGTGAGAGATATTTGCACAGGGAGGGAGGTGGCAGCAGCCATCTGGCTGTTCTCCGGCTGAGCAGGGGAGCATTTGCAGGTCAGGCACCAGGCACCGTCTGTGCTCCAGGACCTCTGGGAAGGCAGCCCCCTGACAACAGTCTTTCTGAGACACTCGTCTCTTCTGTGAGAGTAAATAATGGATAATTTGAGAAAAATTATTAAAACAGTGCTATTTTTTCCCCCTTTTCATACCCACATCAAGTAAATCATCTAGGATCTTTTCCCCAGTTTTATTTTATGAGGTGGGGAGAAATACAGTTTTTGACATTTAAAGAATGGTGATGTTTAGCACCTATAAGTTACTTTACAGTTTATAAAGCATTGTCATACCCATCATTTCATATGATCCTCAAGACAGTGGGGGTGGATAGCTGTGGCCAAAATCATCCCTATTTTACGGATGAGGAACTGATACTTAAAAAGGTCAAGTTGCTTGCATGAAACCACATACATAACAAGAGACAGAGGCCAATGACAGCAGATTGCATGTTCTTCCCACTCTGTCCCCTGCCTCCCCATTTGGCTGAAAAGCAAGGTGTGCAGAGAGCTGGTTCCCATATATAACTAACTGCCTTGCAGGTGGCTCCTGGGAGACAGCCTTGAATTTCAGGGACATGGTAGAACCCAAGGCGATGAGCCACAAGGGTACAATGTGGGGACCACGGGTCTGTCTCTGGTTACCACCAATGGGGCATTCACTGGGCACCAGACAAAGCACTATGTAGACCAACCATGTGAAACCGCATGTAACATACACACCGTTCTACCACCAGCAAAATCATGGAGGCAAGGGAGCATCTTACAAAATCACTGAACATTTCCTCCAAGTTCCTTTGCCCATGTTTTCTCTAGGGCTTTGTCTCTCTCCATTCAAACCTGTGCGTGTCTACCTGAAGCCATTACCTGAGTTCCAAATCCTGTCCTAGCTAGTTCTTGGTTCTTTTTTTTTTTTTTAATTGGGGAATTGGGGGGATGGGAATGGTGCTGGGGAATTGGGGGAAGAGGAACAGACAAGTTGCTGTCGTTTTGCTCTTCAGTCTAGTTGTGGAGGACGTTGCTTCATTGGCCTAAATTACTAAAACTGTTTTTTGTTGTTGTTGTCTTCACCTGCAATGCGCCTGAATTCTGTCTGCCATCATTCTTTTAACTAACCTACGTTCAGAGCTTTCAATACCTTCCTCATGAAATGCTATTATAAGCCTTCAAATATTCTTCCTAATATGAAGGCCTCACTGCCCTTCCAAAAATTCTAATTAGCTCTCTTCTGTATCCTATATTCTTTCTTGACATTCAGTGCCTGTCATCAGTTATTAAAATCAGTCCGTGACTTCTGGAACCAGAAGCTCTAAGGATCATGTGGCCAATGACTGACAGTTCACCCTGCAGCCAGCCACCCCTTGCTGCTTGGATGTGTTTGTACATCCACAGTGTGCTTGCTTACACTGTAAGCTCCCTGGAGCAATGATGATCCTCTTATAAACTACTGAGATGTTTAGAGAAAGCTCTGGGGTTAGTTCAGCTGCTCTCTAGTTTCCAGCTTAACTCTAAGATGTGTCCCTATGCCATATGTTCTCTCTCTTCTGCCATTTGTCTTATCCAGAGGCTAAATTGGGGAGGCACTGCTATAAATGACCCTCAGTTTACCTGTAATTGAAACTCTGATGATCAGAGAAGGCTTGGTATTGTGTCCTAAGGTTGAATCCCAGAATTTCAAAGAGGGTCATGCAAAATGTGTACAAAGTTTGGACAAATGAAGCCGAGACCTGGGAACACAACCCAATATTATTACTGCCTTCTTTACTTTGGATCTTCAAGGATGAGAAAAGGCCACTGTTTCCCAGTTGGGTGCCTGTCAGAGCCACTGGAGTTGTACTGAGCTCTCCTGTATCCCTGCCATCTTTGTGTGCTGTAGACAGGAGCTGCCCTGTCACTGGCACACAGATAGGAAAGAGCTGCTGGATAGGCCCACAAGTGCAGCTCAAGCCCAAGGGTCAGTCAACAGCCCAGAGCCCTAAACTCATCTGGTATCTAATGTGGATGAGTCAAAAAATACAATGATGATAACAATAGCATTACCAGCTAACCACAATATTTCACAGTGTGCCAGGTACTGTGCCAGAGCTTTCACATGAGTCAACTCAGTTAGAGCCTCATGACAACCCAATGAGGTTATAATCCCAGTTTTACAGATAGAGACACTGAGACTCCAAAACATTATGTAACTAGACCGAGAGTAAGTGATACAGACGAGATTAGAACCAAGGCTGTCTGAATTCAATGCCTATACATGACACACCATAGATAGGAAGGATGCAGCTTGGGGTTACTTGGGAATGAGGCCACAAGGCTTGTTTTTCTGTTTTGTTTTGATGAGGTAACAATATCCTCATTCGGACCCAGATGCTTTTGTCCTTGTGTGACTGGATGTGGACTGGAATACTATTGTTAATGAGTGGAGTCCAAAGTAAGGACAGAGAGGCCCAAACTTCTGGAGGACACTCCCAGCCCACAGCATAGTACATCAAAGATCCCAGATGCCACCTGCATGACAGGCAGAAAAGCTCAGATGTTTTGCTAGCTAGGCCAGTTTCTCTGCTCCCCAAGTCTAGAAGAAACTGGCAAGGAAGAGATAAGGGTTTTGTAGAAGTTGAATACCTTTTGCCTCTTGGAGATGTTTCCCTCTCCTCCATGGTGATCCCCACTCCCACTCACCATGAAGCCAAGTGAGAATGTCTCCAAAAACTAGGGATAGGGTGGGAAAGAGTGCCAGTAAAAGCAGGAAATTGGCATCTCATTCTCTGCTTGGGCATACACATATCTTAGACAAGAGACTTCCTCCCACCCAGGCAAGTGGAGGGTAATTCAACAAGCCCACTGTCTAAGATGGGAGGGTGGCCAGAGGAGGGCAATGTGACAGCCCATGTTTATGCCATTTGAGTGGCCAAAGATACCTGAATTTCCCATGGATCAAGTGGACCCAGAAGAGGGTAGCTGGGCTTGAGCTGTCCTACTGTGCCCCACCCAAGCAACCCCAGCAAAAGGAGGTTGTATGATGCCTTGCTGGGGCAGATCTACTGGGACAGTTTGTTGGGTAGTGAGCAGACTCCTAAGGGCTCCCTGAAGATTTCATCCCTTTACTCCATGAGCCAACATTTGGATGTCTGACACACAGACCATTGGTAGTGGTAGATAGTATTTTCCAAAAGTGGCCACAGTAATATTTCTGGTCTCATATGCACTTCCAGAACCTTGCCACTCCCATCAAGAGATGGCATCTATTTCCCCTCCCCTTAAGACTTTATGGCTGCCCTATGGAATTGAATGCAATGAAAGTGATGCTGTGTGACTTCTGAGGCTGGGTGATAAAAGGCAACATGATCCCTCTCTCTCTCTCTCTCTCTCTCTCTCTCTCTCTCTCTCTCTCTCTCTCTCTCTCTCTCTCTCTCGATGCTTGTCCTTGGATCAAAGCCACTACCCTGTGAGGAGGCCCAGGATACATGGAGAGGCCATATACAGGTGTTTTGACCAACAGCACCAGCTAAGATCTCAGTTGACTGTCAGAATCAATTACTAGACTTAGGAGTGAGTGAGTGAGCTTCCAGATAGTCCAACCCCCAGCCTGTTAGCCTCCCCAGCTAATCCAAGTGGAGCAGAGATGAGCCAACCATGCTGATCCATGCCAAAAATTTAGGATTTAGGAACAAATGAATGTTCTCATTGTTTTAACCCACTACATTTTGGGGTAATTTGTTTTGCATCCTAAGTAACTGGAATACTGTTGCCTAGGGAGCAGTAACCGTCACCAGAATAAGGCAAGAAACATCTGACCCTTTTCCTCCCTCTTCTCTCCATCCAATACACCCAGGAATCCGTAGCTTAGACTAGGAAAGAGGAAAGGGAGCTAGTTTCCTAGAGGCAGACCACTGGCTTCCTCCACTCTGGGGAGAGGGAAGGAGAAGGGTAAAGTGTAGACCACCCTCCCCTTCCCACTGCAGTTCCCCAGCCACAACCTGGCAGACAGTAAAGGAGGGAATTTTTGATTCAGAGATGAAACTAGGGTTTTAAACTGGGCAGAAACTAAAAAAATAAAAACAAAAACATTTTAAAAAATTTAAAAACTGGACAGAAACTTAAGTGAAAGTGCTTAGGAAATATGCAGTCTCCTTCAAGTGTCATTTAAAAATCTGTCACCCAGGGAGAAGGGAGATTAGACAACACAGAGGGGCATAATAAGTGAAAACATAGAACTGTTTCATGCCTCTCTGAATTGAGACTGCTCAGTAAAGTGGTTATATTTATCAAGTAACCAAATTTATTCCTACCCAAGGACCAAGGATGGCACCATCCTTGTGTTCATTATAGAAATTAGATGATAAAAGAAGATGTGGCTGGAAGCATGGAGCATGTCCCTGAGCCTGGATCAGAGTAACTCCTACAAAGATATGACAGTAGAGTATTTTGAGAAGGGGGTTTCACTGGATAAGGATATGCCATGCAACCTGATATCTTACCTATGGGGCTGCCACAGGTATGATTTGGCTAATTTTTGCCCGATTATTCTGTGGCAGATATCCTAGGAGCTTTTTGTTTATTTACGCTTCACAGCAACCAATAGAGATGGGTTCTTTTGATAGCCCCATTTCACAGACAGGAAAGCTGAGGTTCAGGGAGATTAAGTAACTTTTCCAGGTTTACTTTCTCAAGGCCAGTCTCTTTCTCATATACACAAAGGTTAAGTAACTTTCCCATGGTGGCAGAGCAAGGATACGAAGCCAAGTCTGACTCCAAGGCCGAACAGAAAATTCCCACGCTGCTTTGCCTCTCCAGGGAGGGCAGCATTGAGGGCTGTTCTGTTAAGACAGGGAGTTTTATTCTAAGTTCACCTGGAACTCCAAGCTAAATATATTTAGAAATTGTCAGTTTCCTTTCTACCCTGAATCTTGTCTACTTCTGACCTTTTATAGTGGCCATTAGGTGACTCTGCTTCCTGTCCCACAGACCAACTCTTGCCCCACAATGTCCTTGGAGATGGTTCACCTGTGGGACAGCTGGGTCCCCTTACATCTTTCCCTGATATGAACAGGCCTACAAACGAGGGGTCAGTTGACCTGCGAGAGGACTACCAGTGGTCCCAGCTGGGCAGAACGAAGCAGGACTTGACTGCCCCTTCCCTCTGAGTCACCGCGATTGCAGTCCAGGCACCATTTCTTCTCCTCCCTGCGCTTCAAAGCTATGGACAAAAGAAATGGCTCCTTGGTCTGAAACCATGATTCACCAGGCCCAATTATTCTGTCATTAAAGGGGACACGATAGATATTTTTGTAATTGTGCACATATATTCTCAAAAAACTAAAAAGTATTCTCAAAATTCTAGTCTTGTTGTGTAATCCATTAGACATCTATGAGCTACACTTATGTCATCCTGCCCAGCACTGCTCAGCATCAAAGAACTTCAGGCTGATAGATGCATCCTCAGGGATCATCTAGTCTGCCTCTGCTCCCTACGACATTCCCAGCAAGGGACTACCCAGCCTCTCTTTGACCGTCCCTTTCTAAGGCAAAGCTTTTCCTCATATTGAGCCGAATTGGCGTTCCTACTGACTCCCACACAGTGGTCTTTGCTTTGTCTGCTGGACTCTCAGAGGAGAATCTATTTCCTTTTCCATGAGTGGAGGCAAGATTCAGGCACTCTTATAGGCCGAATTTTGTCCCCCTCTAAAATGCATATGCTGATATCCTAACCCCAATGTGGCTGCACTTGGAGATAAGATCTATAAAGAGGGAATTAAGTTAAAATGGGGTCATTTAGGTGACCCTAATCCAACATGACTGGTGTCCTTACAAGAAGAGGAGATCAGGGCACAGACACACATAGAGGGAAAGCCATGTGAAGAAACAGGGAGAAGGCAACCATCTACAAGCCAAGGAGAGAGGCCTCAGAAGCCAACCCTGCCAACACCTTGATTTTAGACTTCCAGCATCCAGACCATAAGACAATAAATATCTATTTTTTAAGCGGCCCAGTCCATGGTACTTCATTATGGCGGCCCCAGCTCACTAACACAGGCCCCCTACCAAGCTCCCTCTTTAGCCTAAGCAGACCCTGCTCTTCTTGCTGAACCCCAGAGAAGCTTCATTGTACCTTTCCGCGTGGCTAACTCTCCCCTCCCTGCACTCTGGTTAGTTCCGCTGACCAGAAGGCGAAGTCCTGCACCCAGGTGGCCTGATCGTTGTGGAGGAAGGTAAGCCTCTCACTTCATGTTTGGACTTTGTACTGCTGTCCATGGAGTGTAATATTTGTTTAACTTTTATGGAATCGCACTCTTAGCTCACTTTGAGCTTATAGTCCATGAAGAGCCCCAGACCCTGTTTGCTATTATTGCTGTCTAAAAGCCACATCTTCGGGCCGGCCGAGTGGCGCGATGGTTAAGAACTCGCTTGGGATGCCAGAGGGCCCCGGTTCGGATCCCACATATAAGGGCCAGTGACACTGCCCTCTACAGCTAAGATGCTGAACAACAGCTCAACCTGGAGCTGGGTTGCTGTGAGTCGCTG